AGCGTAAATGATACTCACCTGCAGTGTTTCACTGCTGCTGTTGCTTCTTATCTGCCTGCCTGAAAGCTGAAAAAAAAAACCAACAACAGGTTTTTTTAATAAATATTTCCGAGTTGCACAACTAATGCATTTTATTTTGTTTATAAAACACAGGGGGAAAATGTATCAGGTTTATTTCCACTAATCAGCAAATATTTCTCTGTGGGCCATTTCAAGGAAGTGGAGAAAATTGATAACTCTAAGAAAGAACAGAACAACATTAGTCAGGGTCTGTCTTTATCTTAGCACAGAACAGTGCAAATGAGGTGCTCAGAGGGAGACTGAGCATCAGCTTTTCAAAATTGGTTAAGCACAGGCAGGCACTTAATAGGGCTCTCAGAGGTCTCCACAACTTACAGGGGTTACACAAATATTTAGGACATCTAGATTTACAGTGAGGCCACAGAAGGATTCACAAAGACAAAATACCTTTTTCTGAAACTAACCTAACACTACCTAATCCCATTTAATGAGTTAAGGTAGTAAAAAAAAATGCCATTTCCACAGGAAGAAGAAACATCTACCTCCTGTAATCTCGACAGGCAATGATGCTCAAACCCTTACACAGAATAGTGGGTTTTTTCTTACAAGACCAAAGCCTCCAAACGTAGCTCTGGAGATATGGAAGGTGGAATTTGTTGTAAAACTGCTGCAGAATCGGAATTTATGATAATGATTTTTTTGTTTCTGTGGCTACAATAAAGCACAATGTAAATGTGAACTGAGCTCAGAGATGTTTTTCATTCTGTCAGGACTCCCAGTTTTGCTCTCAATTCCATGTTTTTGCAATCTAGTTGTAGCCAAAGAGAAACAACTCTATCTTGCTGTGTGTTAGAACAATGAGTTACCTCTTTACTTTTCTGTGCTTATTTCAGAAGTACCATTCTCTCCACTTTACAGCTAAATTCTCTAATATTTCCCCCCTCTGTTCCTTAAAGCAGAGTTTGGAAAAGAAAACCCCTGGCTGTGCCATCCACAATGGATGTGCCATCCCAGCAGCCAACCAGCTACACTGGGGCCAGGTGGCAAACACCCCCTAAATGCTGCCTTCAAACATCTCTCAGTCTATCCAGGGAGCCTTTTCCTCACACCAGATAAAATTCTGGGCACAGAAAGGACCTGGCTGAGGGAGAGAAGGAGAAATAATATGGGATTTCCAGTTTCTTTTTCAGTCACTAAGAAAATATCCTTTGAAATAACAATCCTTAAGGTGAAAAAACATTTTTACTGCTCCAAGATGTGATTTTTACTTTTTTTTTACTTTTTTTTCCTTTTTTTTCTTTTCTTTTTAAAGCAGAACAGAACTCATGCATGCTTTGGTCATTTGTGAGCCCTGGCAGGTTTCAGAGAGGTTCAGAACTGTGGGATATACAGTTTTATCCCTGCATTTGGAAGCTTGCTGCAGGAAAACCTCCGAGAGTGGAGGGACCTCTCCTGTGCCTCTTGACAGGGTCTGAGCACTGGAGAACCAGAGATTTGGAATGGCAGCACCATCCAGACCGGCCCTTTCCAGCCCAAATGCTCAGCTCAGCAGCACAATTAAATCCAGTTCTTGCTTCCCAGACCCACAAAGCCCAGCCATGTCACAACTGAGCAGCCTGAATAATATCTGTCCTTCCCAGAGGACCTTCCTGTACAAGTACCAAAGCCTTAGTTTGGTTTTTTCCATGTCAGCCAAGAGCTGATCCATCCCTCACCACACAAGGACACTTATTGAATGTTGACAGAGAAGGAAGTGTACCACCTACTGAGTCACCCATGCCACGTCCTAACACCTGGCTTTGGCCTTGCTGGGCTGCCACTTAAACATGAATCTACCCTGAGTACAGATGTAGTAAATGTCTATAATAAAACCTCAAACCACACAACACTTTCCTGGATGGGAGGTAGTATATTGTGATCCCCTACAGTTCATGGACTTCAGGAAGAAAACCGAAATTCATGTGCTTTGCTTTTATTCAATTTTGGGGGTAACAACCATGCATGTCACATCCTGCAGCAAGGTATAAAATTAACCTTCCTTGAAATCAGAAATAAAATCACAGCTACGAGTTATTTTTCTTTTACATTGACTGCACAAAATCATGGCCAAATCTGCCAAGGTGTTAGAAGACTAATCTCCCACGTACCTTAACCACCTCCTCTGTGAAAATTCATCCAAATTCTTATCATTCTCACAAGACCCCTGAACATAAAATACAGAATTTTTAAAGCCCAGCTACAGACATTTCTTACAAGTTAAATTCTCGCTCGCTGGGCAGTGAATCATTTGCCATCCCCAGTACGCCCCATAGCTGACAAACAAAGCAGTATTTGCTACCCTATTCCAAAACATGGTACGGCAGCGTATTTTGGGAAACGATGCTTCATTAAGAAAACATGGTCTAGGGCAGCACGATGATACAGGAGTCACCCAAATGTGCTACATCCTGTGACTGGCTCTGAAGTAAGTGTGAAATCAGCCACCAGAGGAAGCCACTCTTTCTCGGGGACATCAGCTCCCAGCTGGGCTTGCTCACCTTCCGTCTTCTGTCCTGTCTCAGACCACAACCCCTTAAACCCTCCTGAGCAGCTGAGCCCCTTGGCAGCCCCCAGGGCAGGAGGATCCAGCCCACACCCTTCGAAGGCGCTTTCTGCAACGCGCTGCCACATTGTTGCCACATTGTTTCCACAACAAAATCCATGTTTATCTACCTAAAGCTCCCCTTCCTTCCGGATCTGCTGCCTGAAGACATGAAACAGCTTCGTGCTCAAGCTCAGAGCCCAAACCCGTAAATGCACAGTTGGAGGGGAAGAAGAGGGAAGAGAGTAATGACAAGGAAGGATCCTTTTTAAGTCTGAATTTCTTCCCTCTTTCAAACTGATGCTTGCAATGTGTAATTTTGAAACATTTTATGTGCAGGAAGTATTTGCAAAGTATTCTTTTTTAGATACAGAACATGAAGAGCATCACCCACATTAGTGCCTCTTTGCACAGGAGGGAGAGAAACCAAGGGAATGCAGACAGCTCCAAAAGCAAACTCACCTCAGCACATACAGCCAAAAAAAATTGCTACTAATGGTTCAGTGAGATGCTCCAGCACAGATGGAACAAGGGAGACCACTCCTGAACAGGAACAAGGTAATGAGGCAGCAAGAGTGCCTTCTCTTTTCTCAGTGTACCCTTTTTCAACTGACAGCACTATAATTAAGTAGCAAAGGGCCCCTGCCTCAGTGGGACTGCAGCATCACCTTTCTCCAGAAGCACCCAGCAAACCACAGCAGGCAATTACAACTTCTTATTATTTTTTTTCTCACTCTATGAAAATAAACTTGAGTTTTCTAGGACACTTAATGAACTTCCCCATAACTTTCCAATTTTCTAATAGGATAATTATTTTTATCATCACTCAGACAGCCACATTCTGAAATATAAATATGTCAAGTTTAAAAAAATCATTTGTCCTGCGCACAGAGCTCAGCTTCTGGAAGTGCTCGAGGCCAGGCTGGATGGGACCCTGCTCTAGTGCAAGGTGTCCCTGCCCACAGCAGGGGGTTGGAACTGGATGCTCTTTAAAGTCCATCTTGTCTGAGCCACAGCAGGACCTTCCAGTGCAACTGCAGGTCCTGACACTCCAAGGCTGCTTGTGAAATCCACCTTCTACCCGTTAAATCAAAACATAAAAACTAAGCAGAGATCTCCCAATTTTGTGTTTGTAATAGGAATAAGCTCCTTAAACAGCTCCATTTCCTCTAGGTTATGGACTAACTTCCAATGCCAGCAGCTTTGGATGCAAGGCCAGAGCAACCTGGCTTCAGAGGAACTATTTCACATTTCAGCCTGATGCCTCAGACTGAATTCATGTTGAGGGGATGAGGCTATCACGTCAACACTCTTGCTTAATGTTTTGAGTCATGTATTATATTACTCACAAGACACAGTAATTGTCTTTCCATCCTTTTGCCCCTCACCGAGATGAATAACTTCTCTTATGGGGCAGGTTTTCCTAGGTGCTTTTGGTTAGAAACAAATGGGTCACCTTCCCAGAAGGCCACAAAAGAAGAGCAGACAAAAAAAAGCCCAACCAGAAACCTCCACACACCCCCGTGACTTAAAATTATCAAATAAACCTGAAGTGAAAAGTTGCAGATTGCTATTTACTTGTGAAAGGGATGTAGGTGGTCTCGGTCCTGGGGGTTGCAAATGCCATCAGAGGAGCATCACTGTGCAAACCTCTGGGTACAGCCACTGGTCCAGACATTCCCTGGGTGCAAATTGTTCCAGCTCCAACAAGGCCCCTCCACTCACTCCCCTGCCGTCCAGTAAATTATGCATGACTTATTATTTTTGTCCCAGCTGGTTATTCTGTTTTTAAATAAAAAAAATCTGAGGGCCTTCTCAGGTGCAGCCTCCACACTTGGGATTACAGCAACGAAAAGACAGGGAGCAGCCGGGCTTCGCCTTTGTCCTCAGCTCACTCTGGTGCAGTTCGGTGCCAGAGGGATCAGGAAAAGGCTCCACACTCCAAGCGCGTTGTTGCTCTTCCCTTCCACTGCTGTGATATTAAGCCATCCAAGAAAACGGGGGGGGGGAAAAAAGTTCAATTTACACAGAATGCCCCAAGCGCCCATAAGCGGGACACGCCAGTACTCCCGGCACATCCCTTGCTTTTCAAATCGTTTTTCAACTTTACAGCTCGGTGGTATAACAAAAACAGCTGCGCAGAGTTGTTCTGAATCCCTCCCTAACTTGTGCCTCCCTGTTTGTGCCTTCCCTCGCTGCTGCCGTTCAGCAGCTCCTCAGCCCTTTCTCCTCATGGCACGTCATCGGTTCGCAGGGCACCAGGTGCTGGAGGGGCAATCTCACAAAATAAACAGCAAATGCTTCAAGAAGTTGCCTTTTATCCCACATAACTTTTTCTGTAACTTACAAAAAAATAACGCACCGGATCCACGCCGGTCGCGGTTCAGCCCGCCATGTTTTGCGAAGTCCCCCCGCACGTTTTCAGCATGCCCTGCTTGCTCGTGGTGCCTTGTGGGTGTTTCTGCACCTCACTCCAAGTTCCCGGTCTCTCTCCCGCCCTTTTCTGGGAGGGTTTTCCTCACTATTTTCACCTCCGAGGCTGCAGGTAGGTACTAGAGGAAGCAGTTGGGTGGCCCCGCTGAGGGGAGAAGCACCCCAAGATTCCTGCGGGGCTGGCAGCAGGGCTAGGCACAAATTCCCCATTATTTCTTGGAGGGGTGGGGTTTGAGATTTTCTTTTTTAAATTTTTGAGGAAAAACAGGCCTTTCCCTACGCCCCAAGCACCTCCGTTCCAAGCTGCGGACACAAACCCAGCAGCACCAAAGTGGCGGGGAGGGAGTGAAACATGGCCGCCCTCTCTGAGGGGAACCCGCCAACGCCCTCACCGTGAGAGGCTCACGGCTGCCTTGCTGCCCCCGCAACCCTCCCCAGGCATCTTCTCCTCAGTCACAAAGATCTCTCCCCCCACCCCACCCCCCCCCCGAAACTGGTTCGGATAATTGGAAATAACGGAGAAAATTCCCTCCGGGGCGGGAATGGAGCTGCACCGGCTGCGTTTGCAATCGCACAGGACTGCCGTGGGGGGAAGGCGGGAAGCGGTTTACCTCAGGGGCTGGAGGTGGCCAGAGGCAGCCCCGAGTACGTCTATCCCAAGTTTTCCCTTTCCAGGGACATAAAAACTTGATGTGTTGCAGCACCATCTGCTGGTTACTGTAAGTAAGACACACGGGAAGCTCCCAACGGAGTGGGAAGGAGTAGAAAGAGTTTGGGAAGGGGTTTCGCGTGGTTTCTTGCACGTGGGCTTTTCCTGGAGTGTTTTTTTTTTCTTGTAAAGGCGCGAGTTGTCTCTAAATAAGCAGTATAAGAAAAGCCACCTACCCGGAGAAACAGCAGACAAGTTAGCGCCGAGTTTAGGGAATTCTCTGAAGAAGTACAGTAGTCAAAATCCGGGTTTTTCCCTACTCCTCTGAAGCCTGGTCAGTCTGCAGAGTCCCTGGGGGAAGGATTTTCTGATGTGACCAGCTGCTTGTGGGCACTTTGATTTTATTTTTTTTTCTACGTTTCTAACTCGGGCTGCCTGCCCTTATTTATTTAAGTTTCCATTTCATGCAGCCCCAACCTGCTGCTTTCCGACCCTGTGGTCCCGTGGAGGGGCTCAGCCCGCCCGCCCACAGCCACCATCCCTTTGCTAAGCCCTTGCTGCCTTTACAGTCTTTCCTCATTCCAGCCGGTTTCCTTCCTGGGCTTGATTCATCCCAACAGTGAAGTCATGTTGGTGAACTTTATTGAAAGTTCCTCCTTGCTGTTAATTTACAGCCTGGTGAAGGCAAAAGGAAGAGATTGGGATTTTTTTTTTCCCCTCTCGGTGAGTGACTTGAGATAATAAAAATATGAAGAAACACATTACTTCGAAATTATGTTATGTAGAGGAATGGCACTCACCTCTTTTGCTTCTTTAAAATTCAAGTACAATACTAATTAAACCATGACTAAATAAAACTGGCCCACCCTGTACAGTGTTTGATTTGAAATTAAAAAAAGTTTCCCTCTACAGGGCCCAGCAAATGTCCAAGGTTCAAACAAAGTACGAGGTGCTAACGAACAGAATCTTGACAAACCTTGTTTTCCTGCACAGGGGCTTGGTACATAATGATTTCATTCAGCAGCTACTGTTCAAGCATGGAAAGTGTTGGTAAAGAAATCCCACAGAGATCAGACAACCATTTTCCTAACTTAAGCTTCCCCCTCCACTCTTCCCCCCCCACCCCCTTTGCCTTTCGGGCCTCTGCCAGTCATAACATAAATATTCATCAGCTGATATTTGCAGTAGCTGTGAAGTTATGAATGAGGCCAAAGCCTTTCCCTCCTGCCCCATCTGCAAAATGGCAGCTTCTGGTCTTAGCTCATGGTCAAACGACACTTTCCGAAATCCCCGAAGTGCACTTGCAGGCTTTTCAAATTCAGTCGGGTTTTTAATGCGCAAAGCAGAAATGCTGTCTACCTAATATTTACCCTGGGATTACTGGAAAAAAAAATAATATATATATTACTTTGCTATGCTTTAAACTTTGCGATGCCTTGACGTAATAGCCAGAAGTGTTGGCAGCTCAAAATGTTGGTTGGTTTATTTCAGGGGACACGACTGCTGCAGGTTTCCTTTCTGAATCGAATACCAGACACTTGAACCATTTGTTGTGCAGAAAAGAGAAATGGCTTTTATTCTTAATGCTGGTTTCTTAACCACCTGGGTGCTGTCAGAAGGAGCCACATGCACTGGAAAACACTTTTAATAAGACTCCTTTAAGCCTGCCTTAAACCTTGGATCCTGACAAATGGAATCCCCACTGCCTGTCATACGTGTTTTCTCTCTACAGATTAGCGAGGGGCTGCTGCTTTAAAAATGTTCCATTCTCACAAAGCCTGGAATTATGCTCTCAAACCTACCACGGGTCAGCAGAACAGTGGAGACATCTGATGTAGCCACACCAGCAAAGTCAAAAGCAGACATGTCAAAGAAACAAGGTGACAGTACAGAGCTTTAATGACTTTAATTAAGCAAGGTACCTTTCCAGCCAAAAGAGCTGTAGTGATGGACCCAGATGGGGACCTTAAGCCGAAGCATCACTGGGTCTTAAAGGCTTAAAAATCCTAAATGCCCAGAGGTGTTGGGAAGTCCTGACAAAGAGGCTCAGCACCATTCAGGATCAAGGCCCTGGAAAAACCTTTTCATAGCTTGGGTTGCACAGATCAATCATGCAAACTATCCTTATCTTGTCTAATTAATAAATAAAAAAAAAATTAACATCAAAACCAAAGGAAAGTGATAGGCTTAGGAAGTTTTAGAGATCTTGCAATCAATCATCTCATTTGATTTTGACCATGAAAAAGCCAGAACTATTTACCCAACAAGCCTCCAATGTTTTTGGCCAAAATGGAGCATATCTTCTCAAAACCCATCTATTTTTCATTTAAATACTACAAAGGACAATTTACCACATCCCTTGGGAACATTCCAACACTAATAGCCCTTGCTGCTAAAAAAAAAAACAACAAACCACACTTTGCTTTTAATACCTTCAGCTTTCAGCCAGAGGATCCTGTATGTCTGTTTTGAGATGAAGGAGCCCCAAAATCATGTCACCTCCAAACCAGGACCAAGTACCTTGCAGCAAATTACACTACACCCAAAAATCCCCAGTTCTTCCTAGGCTGCTGACCCTGTTTTTATCAGCTGTTTACATACTATTGTGCTGCTTGAGAGCATCTTCTCGGGGCAACGGAAGCGTCTTTGTGACAGTGGAAGTGAACAGTAATTAATTGCCACACTTCACTGAACACACAAATATTGGGATGAGCTGTTCTGGCATTTTCCATGATGACCCAGCACCGCAGGACGGTCTAACTGCTGCCAGCGCTAGGAACCAAAACAAGAGGGAAAAAATGAATCACAGTGACACCTTCCCACAGCCAGTGAGGCAGCGGGGAACAGAGTGTACGCCAATTCCAAGGAAAAAAGGAAAGAGAAACTTCAAGGAATTTCTCCTTAGTTGTTTTCCCAAGAGGGTGGGAAGGTGAGACTGAAAAAGACTCTAGAGTAGGACATTCTCTCCTGCATTCCCATGTATCAATAGACATAGCAATAAACATATTCATTTTCCTGTATTAATAGCCAAAACGCTTCTGGTAGAGGCAATACAAATCCTCCAAGGTAAACTGTGCAGCGCACAGATTCTGTCAGAATGGCACAGCTGTGCTGCAATCACAGCTCCAGAGAGCATGGCAGCAGCCACGGTGTTGGCTGAGACACACTTCCATGCTGCAGCCAACATCTCTGCTCATCATAGCACTGAAGATTTCCAAACACATCAGTAAACAGCAACACAAATTAATAAACGAGCCTGGGGGCTGGATGTGCTCTACAGCTCCTTGTTCTTTGGATGCACTTTACATCCTCTGTAATAACTTGACAATACAACTCCCTTTCCATATCAGAGCAATAATGGGAAAAGGATTGAGAATCAAAAGGAATACTTTTTTTATCTTTTTATCTTTATGGTAAAAGGGCCTGCCTGTGATAGATCAAAAGTATGGTTTTATGCTTGCTGAGGGGACACGTACACCCAAACCCAACACACTTGAAGCTGATAAAAAGCAGAGCAGGCAGATGGTTGCACTGACTGGGCTGACTGTTCATTAACATGCCAGCGAATTATTTTGGCCCTGTGTGGTTTTGTAATCTGCTCTGCAGCAGTTACAAACCTACACATAACCACTTGCAAGTGACTGTCCATAGACTAAGAGGAGAAGACACTGTTAATGATGCACCAGAAGGTCTTCCAAGTCTCTCTGGCACCACTGAATCACCAGAACACAAGCTGGAGCTGGAACTCTCAGAGATGTCTTTTAGGTCTGCTGTACAGCTGGGGCAGTCTTCCAGCCTAACAGGGAGAGCATGAAAAGCAAAAGACTGAATCCAGTTAAGGTATAGTTTATGGATAAATAACGTGGAAAATGAAGCACAGGGCTCATAAGATACTTGGCTTGTTTATACATTGAAGTGTGCATGTCATGCACCAGGGCTGTTCATTTTTCTATCCACAAAAGATGGGTTGGGTGGGGCTCTGAGCAACTTGGTCTAGTGGAAGGTGTCCCTGCCCATGGCAGGGGGCTTGGAACTGGATGAGCTTTCAGGTCCCTTTCAACCCCAGCCATTCTGGGGTTCAGCAGCAATTCTGTAACAGGGCAAGTTTGTCTGGGAAATACCAGCAGCATTTAGAAGGTAACTGCTTGGCCTTGCCAAATTGCAGTCATCACAACCTCACTGCAGAACTTGCTGCTTTGCTCCAGCTGGGGCCTCAAAATCCCTCATGAAAGCGACAATCAAGCAGCTCACATGACAGTTGCAAATCCCACAGATTCAAATACTATGGACTTGATGGGATACACCAAAACTTCCAGTGAAACTAGTGAAAACTTTAGTGTCCCTTGGGAGAGTAGGGAGAGCTGAGCCTGTAGGTTCAGACTCTCAGCTGACATAGGTCAGTACAACTCCACAGATTGCAACAGAGCTGTGCTAGCTCACAATTTAGCCCTAAACATTTTGTACAAAGATTGTATCAGCATCTAAACAGATGAAGTGGGAAGAATGTTGTGATGGCAGTGGGCTTCTTTATTGACTCCAAAGCATGACCCATAGAGCAGAAATTCTATCATAGCAAGCCCGGGACAGCACTGCTGAGCGAGGAGCGGGCTGGGGGCAAGAGCACTTGAAGGTCTTTGCTAGTCTCCTTTCCAGCTTCCTTACCACAGCTACAGGTGATGTGCAGCCTGGGAAGCAGAGACCTTCAGGAGGCACTTGGTGCTTTCTCTGCTGCCCTAAAGTGCTGCTGAAGCACCACAGGCCACTGAAGTCCCACCTGTGCAGGTTCCTCTCTCCCGTCTGGCAAACCACACTTACTAGGCTTCAACTTTAACCCTGGGCAGGGGGCTCTTGCAAAATGAGAGTAGCTCTTACCTTCTGGCCAAAAGCCCTTTACCAACACCCACACCTCATTTGAAAGAATTTCCCAAGAGCAAAGACCCGAAGGTCCCAGGCCTTTCTCTCATTCCAGGTTCCCTGTGAGATCACACCCAAGGAGTTCACAGTGAAGGCTGATGTGGACACAGCAGCACATGCAGGCTGTGATGAGATGTGATGCCACAGCAAGGAGAGGGACACCGGCACCCTCAGTCCTGCAGCCATGGATCAGGAGCTGTGGAACAAGCTCACCAGGAGGCAGTAAGGAAAGGAGGTGGATTAGTGCCAACTCACCCTTTATTTGTAGATATATTCAGTTGTGCTTTCCTGAGACTGTGACCGAGTTCCCTTTTCCTAATATAAATTTTTCTAACTCTTTCCAAAAGCTTGCCACTGGAGTTCCTTGTATGAATGTGCTTTTTGGTTTTTCCAGCTTCCTGGGTAGAGACTTAAGCTTGACAAAAGGCATTTGTTTATACCAAATTCAGTAATTTTTGCTGCTCTTAACTACCTGATGGGAAGGCTGCAGATGTGTAACTAACTCCAAAGTCAGTAACAATTTGTATTAAAATTATAATAGATACCCTTCCTACACTCTCCAACCTCTTACCTTTGATAGAACACGTGAGCAGACCCAGAGGAAGCTTAGGTATGAGAGATGATCCTGCTGTTTGAATTCCCACCTCTGATGAGCATTAAGGTCTTACCTGTTAAGAAAACTGTTTCTCTCACATCCATGCAAGATTTCTGGGTCCTGTTACCTGTTTCTGGGTAACAGTACATGCTGAACTTACTTACTGACCATACCAAGTAGAAATATGTAAAATACACATCCTGAAAATGTGTAACAGCTCAATTTATACATATTTATGTTACCTTATTGCAGGATCTTCACACCTTCCTATGAAGTCTTTGTGACTGTTCTTGAAAATTAAACAAAGCTCACATGAAATAAACCTAATGGTGAATACTTGATCTGCAGGAACCCTTTCAATGAAAACAGAATGTTTTAAATCCACTATGTTCAGTTCTCCTGACAGGAAAAGCTGATTAAACACAGTATAGAGAATTAAAGGGGTTAGTATACTACTAAAGGGACTTGGGAGGGAAGAGAACTAAAATCATGTTATGCTACTGGATTTTAGAAAACCAGCAAGAAATAAGGGGTCTTCCATTCCCATACTGCAAAGCCACCACGACCAGGTTTTGCTTGGCAAAGTGGCAGAGCATAAGGTATAGTCTCACTTGTACAAGGAGCTTCACCTTCTGCAAGTTAATATGCCCAGGTTAAAGGCTCTGCTGTGGCCCAGCTCTGCCTCTGCCCTGTGGTTCACCTGTGGACCTTCCCCATGGTTATTGAGTGTTTGTGATACGTGTTGTCCACCCCAGAGTTACCTCCCTTACGAAGAACAGAGAATTAAGGTAGTGAAATGGAAAGTTAAGGGACTTAGCTGAGGGACTCAGTTTGTTTCTACCCCCACTTTAGAGAGACTTTCTCTTCCTGTGCCTGTCAATTGACCCTTCTGACTGTTGAGCAGAGGCTGCTGCCTGCAGAAAACCATCTCTGCAGAGCACAGGGCTGCCTTGACCTGCTGTCCTAAAACAACAACCAGCATTAATCACTGCCAGGCTGGTTATAGGAACGTCTCCCCCTTGGCTGAATAAACCAGCTGTGTGCATCTCCCAGCCTTCCACGGCAGGAAGGTGCCTCCAGTGCAGCTGGTTGCTCCGTGGGGTTAATGACCTGAGCTCCCTGCAGGATTGGGACACAGGAGAGGGACTGATGTTCTCAGGGCATTCCTGAGACACGGTTCCTCCTGCCCATCTGAAATGATGACTTAGGAGCTGTAAATCCCTAAGGAGGAATCATATCTTCCAAGTTCAGCTGGGACAGCCTGTGGGTGCCCCTTCCAGAGCTCCAGGCCCTGGAATAACACAGGGCTGGCCCTCTGGGGCGTTCTTATGTTGGCACAACCTACCTATGCAAAGGAGGAAGCTGAACTCCAACACAAAAGGCATTTTGCATCTGGAGGACATGTTCTCAAAGCAGCAAAACATCTTTGTTATGAGTGTAACATATGTGGTACTCTCCCTCTGTTTGGCAGGAGATAAGAAAAACAGAAGCAAGGCAAAAATGAAAACAAAATGGAGCATATAGGGCATCATGAAACAATTACAGCGCTGCCTCTCATTAGGGTCTCAATCTGGGCTTGCCAGTCTTGTTTTAAAAACAGTTTTGTTCAACACCCAGTGACAGAGTTTAAAAGCTGACGTATCTTGCTGTATTGTGGGCCACAGCCACAGCTGGTGTAAATCAGCACAAACTAATGAAGGCAATGGAGCTTCTCTGATTTACACGAGCTGAGGTTATGGCTCAATAAGGTTAGGCTTGCTTTCTAGGAGCGTTCAAGGAAGCCAACTTCTGTGTGTCCTGTGATGAAGTGGTTATTTATAATGGTCTTCAGTGTGGTTTGGAGCCAAATTTCCACATCAAAAGTAGCTTTATAAGAGATATCCTTACAGTGAGGTTCAGTGCAAAATCATGACTTCAGAAGCCAGCTTTCCTCGTGCTCTCAAGTATTTGATTTCAGCCTGAAAACCATTTGAGAAGCCAAGAAAAGCAGAGCCATTCCTGCCTACTTCCCCAGCTCTGCTTCATCTTTGAGTCTCCTGCATATCCAACAGGCCCCGACCTACACTGCCCATTTATCAAAGCCAGTTACTCTAAGTGTCTGTTTATTTATCTTCAGAAATTCCCAGGAAGACAGACAAGTTTCATGCTTAACCTGAAAAAGTGGGGGTGGAGGTGGAGTTCTTACCAGTTCCAGAGCTGTTTGTTTGACTTGGCCACCGGTAAAAATAAAACACAATAACGTGGCCTGGAGTCACAGCGAGAGGTGGAGGTCACAAGAAAACAGATCATGTCTTTCACAGCTCTTCAGCTCCACTGCACTGAATTATGACTCCTATTATTTACTTACTGGATTCTCCACCCTGTGTGCAGGCTCCAAGCATTCAAAAAGCAGCAGGTCTCTGCTTCAAAGGGCTAACAGGCAAGTGAGAGGGTAAAATCTGTCCTGAAGCTTTCTATCTGAGAGGTCAACGTTCTCACAGCCCTCAGCTGACTTCTGCCATCTTCTGCTCAGCTGTGCCTGCAGTGCTGCACCTTTTTGCTCTCCTCTGCTCAATGGAACAGCATCTCGTGGCAAATGCATTCCCCTCACAGCCAAACCTGCTCTCTGGGCACAAACTACCCATGTGTTGCAGCTCCAGGTACTTTAGAGAAGTTCATTAGTTTTTCTTAGGAGGCCCCTGCTCCCTGCATGTCCAGCCTTGGTGTGATCTACCAGCTGTCCAGACAATATCACAGGCTCTTTCACTGACCTTGTCGCTTTGAAACAGGCTGATTTCTTTAGAACTTCTCGTTAAAAAAAGGGTGCCTTGAGTCCAGCTGTTGAGCCCCCAAACCAGGGCTGAAGCCTCTCCAGATCTCCTGAGTGGTTTCTCCACATCCTGTGGAGAATGCCAGGCTCTGTGGGCTCACTGGGGCCAAGGAGACAACTTTGTGGGGATGCTTCCAAAAAAGGGTTCACTTGATACTTAAAGGCAAATAATTTTCTACTTGACATATCTGTTATTTTCTTCTGTTATAGAACTGTAGGAAGATCCATCACCACCTGCTCTGTGTGCTCTGGTTTTTTCTCAGCTTCACCACGTGAAGCAACTGCGAGGTAAATTTTTTCTTAGCCTGCACAATATTTAGCTTTTAAAATGGTCAGGGGCACTCAGCCTTTCTCCTTTCTAACCCAAAACCAAACAGAATTCCTATCTTTTCTTTTTTTAATAATTTCCACAAGCAGTTGTGTTTGGTTGTCCCAAAATCAAGAGAAATTCTCTTCCCTGTGGAATATTTTTAAAAAAAGAATTCGACCAGGCAAAATAATTTCATTTCTGTTAACACTGTCTCACAGCCTGTCAGTATTTGGCTCTAATTTTGGGGTTTAATGCATGTCTAGTCTTACTAGGGTTGAACTGGAAGGCAGTCAGACAATTCTCAGATAACAAGCAGGAAAAAACAACGTAAATCCACTCTCCCAGAGGAACTAGAAATAGTTAATTACACACAAGTGACAAACCCAGTTTCCTCACCATCAGAACTTCTACTGAACCACAGAGTTTCAGCACTTTCCTTGAATCTGGTTGGGGCAAAGACAGGAAACTGCATCTTCTAAACTTTAGAAATAGATCTTAACCATGTAAACATAAGATATTATGCCCCTATCTTTTAAGTAACATTTATATTACCTCAAATAAACAGTCTCTCCCAAGTTAGTCTGTAATTGACATCTGACACAGTCCACATTGCAACAGAAATGATAAGTGCAGTAAACAGCAGAAATTATGCTTCTCTGGGCTCGGAGAAACATTCATATTTCCTTGCACAGATAAACTTTATTTTGTTGCTACGCAACCCTCACACAACACACCCCGTTCTGGAGTAAATAAGAGCACAGATTTTTACAACTGCAGGGCAAGCATGTGGCCTTTTGGGTTTTCTCCCCATTTTGAGTTCCAGCCCCAGCTTTAGTTCACATTAGAATATTCCATCATTTTCTTACAGAGCTGCCTCCAAAGCTCAGTGAGGGATATTTCAAACAGGAGAGTCAGAACGCTCGAGTCCTTCTGGGGCTGATGGGGAACAAATGGTGGAGCCTCTGACATCAGTGAAAGCACGAAATCAAGGCTTTTTTCTCTCTTTTTAATCTCCCCTTAAAATGAACATTTAATTTCCACAACAAGATATTCAAAACCTTTGTGCAGTGGCCTCTCCCTGCTCCCAGTAACACTTCAACACCTGCACCACAAGTGAGACAGGTGAAGAGCCAGCCTTAGTTTTACCCAAGGTGAGAATAATGGAGTCTTACCTACTTGGCTTTTTATAATTGCCAAATTTCTCCTGACTGCAGAGGGTATTTGGATTGTTCAGGGAACAGAGGTGCAGGTACAGGGTGTCTCTGCATCCTCCTCATGTGCAGAGTGAATAAGACCAAGATTTATCTGTCTGAGGGGTGTTCATGGACACTGAGTAGAGCCACAGGGACCTTCCCAAGCCATGGGTTAATGCCTCAATTATTCAAGTTGCTCTTTTGCACGTGGCTGCAAATCCTGCAAACTCTCCCAGGTAGCATCAGCCTTCCCTTGCCAGTGTCAGCAAATGAATCCAGGTGAAAACTGTGACTCTGAGCTCCAGCTGGGTGCAGCCGGCACGGTCTGGGCTACGAGGATTTGCATCATCCAAGGATCTGACCTATGTCCAATGCACATACAGAACAGCTGTCTGATTGCAAAGGGGCTTGTACCACTTAAACAGCAGAATTTCCCCTGTTTTGCTTTGTTCTTTGGTTCTTTACAACTAAGAATCCTCTGAGCTCCTACAGCCGACGTGCTACAAGCCCAGCTGCTTACAAACTCCTAGCACAGTCACCAGGCAAATGACACTCTGTTCATAAGAAAGCAAGATTTAATCTCTGCAATCTCCAGTCTAGTTTCTCTAAACAGTGAGCAAGAAGTATCTTTTGCATTTTAAATTTCAGCATTTCTGTTTGCTGTCAAAACATTCCTGTTTACAGTTTCATTTTAACAGCTGAGTTACTCCCAGGCACAGAAATTAATATCAGCATTGGTTGCAAAACCCCTTGAAGTTCCTTGTGCCGGTCTTGTACCAAGACCCATCTCTAATCACACCTCCCAGTACAGCAGCTTTCCTTAAGAGCCTAAAACGTTTGGAAACACCTGTAAAATTTGCTTTGAGTATTTTCTTCAGGAAGTGATGTCCTACAGGCTGTGCCTTCTCAGTCAGGATTGCAGGATGAGGCCCACAGAGCGAACACAGTTGGGTTTTGTCTGGAAGCAAAACGGGCAACACACGAGGCAAAGTCTTCAGACCTAAATCTTGGAAGACAACACTTGATGTCTTCGGATCAGTGTCCTGCTGATTTCTTCTACTCTCCGGCATCCTGGAGGAGAAGTTACATTTCAGTTGAAACTCCTCTC